TGGGTCAAAACAGATAATGAGTTCTAGCTGTGGGTTTGAGTTTGAGTTGTTACCAGCTTTCATTTTGTTTCGTAATCATCATCTTACCCAAATGTTTCTGATCCTGTTCAGGAGAGATGATGACCATGGGAAGCCAGCAGTACTTTACAAATCTGAGAAGCGGAGCGAGATGGAGAACGAAGGATTTCGAATCATCGGAAATTCTGGTGACCAATGGAGTGACTTATTGGGTACGTCAATATCGATTCGTTCGTTCAAGCTTCCAAATCCTATGTATTACATTTCCTGAACATAATGTGAACGTTCTGTTATCAATTAAACCATGGTTCAAGAACTCCTAAAGGATTGTATATACATTAATGATTGTCTAATTTGTTGGAGATTGAATCAAACATACACAATGAAGACTGATCCATGAAAGCTTTTATTTATATATTAGTGTTGATGACAAGTTCAAACTCCTGTTCTAAGTTCCAGTATTCCATAACTGCAGAAATTTTAAGAGCTGTTCATTTCAATCTGTAATTTTTTCTCTTCTTTGAAGAAAAATTTGTGGTTTAAAAATGGAAAATGACAGCCAGGTATACAATGTCGATCTAAAACTGTTATCGTATGGGTTCGATGTCGGTTTAGAATTGCAATTGTTACAACAATAACATTGGATTCAAAGTTGGTATTGAACTATCAACGTTGTGAACCAGCATTGTACCCCATTATCATCGATCATTATCTCTTATAAACATATAAATTTATGTGGTGCATGCAAGTCTAAGGAAGCAAGTAAGTGATATTGTGAGATCTCACATAATTAGAGATGAGAAGTGTTGCCAGTGAGGACGTTGGGCCTCGAAGGGGTGAATTATGAGATCCACATCGGTTTTTTTATTAAGCGTGTCGAAATCTCTTTCTGACAAACTGTTTTAAAAACCTTTAGGAACCTCAAAAGGGAAAACACAAAGAAGACACGTCGATTGGAATGAAAAATGAGTGCCAACAAGATGTTGGGCCTCGAATGGGAGTAGAATTTGAGATCTCACGTCAGTGGAGAGTAGAACAGAACATTAGGATGTGGAAACCGCAAGAACGTTGGGCCCTGAATGGGGGTGAATTTTTTGAGATCCCACATCGGAGAAGAGAACGAAATATTTTCGAAAGGAAGGCCTAAAAAAAAACAATATCTTCTACCGATAGGTTTAAACTGTTATCACTTAAATTCTCCCCACCATAGGAAAAGAGAACACCTTAGAAAGAGCATCTTTTGAGTATCAGCATTATAAGTGGTTCCAAGGCAAGTGCTTGTGTGGGGATAAAGTCTAGCATTACCTCATGCTTTTGAAGAAGGACCTATCTATTCTTTTAACATAACCACTCTCAATCTCTCAATTATATTTGAGCTTTGTACGATTTCTTTTCTAGTATGTTTTTTTGAACGAGATAATACTTTTAACGAACGTGATTCATATAAATTATAGATATTTTCATGATCTTCAAGAACACAATTCTTGCAAACTCGAACAACCTAAAATAATACCATTCTAGATATGACTTGTCAATGGTAGTTCTTAACTATTATAATTTTTCTTCTTTCATAAAAGTTCAAAATTATCTCTAAAATTTTTAATGGTAGGTCGTCACTTTAAAAATTATTAATAAATTTTTTGAAAATTTAGCCCAAAAAAATATTTTTTAATTTAAAACTATTTTTTAGATTTATTTGAAAAGTTAAAAAATATTATTGAGATATTTTAAAATAAAAGAGTGGGGTCCACTTTCTTGGCTGGATGGGATGTATTCCCCTACTGCGCACGCAAAGTATAGTATTTCACTCTGTTCTTCTGCACAAATCTTTCAAACTCAAAGAAAAGAAGTTTTGAAGATCCAATCATTAAAAAGAAAAAAGCTTTGGATTTGTTTGAACAATCCCACATGCTGAAATTCATTCTTCTCGTAGCTTCGGCCGCCATTTTTGTTCTTCTCCTAATTTCCATCTTTTTCTTCTTCTTCTTCCGCCATAAGCTCTCACTAACAGAGCATCGACACGACGTCGAGAGGCCCTGCACCGACCAAAACAAGAAAAAGGAACACACGCCGCCGCCGTCGCCGCCGTCGCTGGCAACTTTCGAGGGCGGCGAGGATTTGACGATCGATGAGATTCTAGAAGCTCCGGGGGAAGTGATTGGCAAATCCCACTATGGAACTCTGTACAAAGCTTCGTTACAGAGCACCCAATCGACCCGGCTACTTAGATTCCTCCGGCCGGGTGCCGGTGGAGGAGAGTACGACGTCGTGCGGTTTCTGGGTTCGATTAGGCATAGGAATTTAGTGCCGATGCTGGGATTCTACGCCGGCGGGAGGGGTGAGAGGCTTCTGGTTCACCCGTTTTATGGGCAGGGGAATTTGGCGGATTTGATTAGAGGTAAGTTTGAAAATTTTGGTGTGAGATTTTCTGTTTGTTTCTCGAGAAAGTGAAGGGAAAATGGAGTTTAATTTGGGGTGGGATGTCGGCAACCAGATTTGTTGTCGGTTTTTGGTGGCTGTGGACGTTTTTGTCAATGGGGAAATCAGAGATGGTGACCATTCTGGTTCGTCCAGGGGTGCCTTTTTTATTTCTCTCGGTTTCCACGCCCTTATAAATCTGGTTTGATTCCCCTCTAACGTAGAATCTCACAATCCACTTACTTAGGACTAAATATCTAGACACACAGTTCAATGTTTGCCTATGATATTATTTGTAACAGCACAAGTCCGTCACTAGTAGATATTGTTCGGTTTATAGAAATGTTTGGCTCCTTCTCTCATGTGGGATTTCAAAATCCACCCTCTTGAGGCCTAACGTCCTGACACACTATTTGGTGTCTAGCTATGATATCATTTGTAACAGCTCAAGCTCATCGCTATAGATATTGTTCTCTTTCGACTTAACCTATCTCACAATCTACCCCTTGGGAGCACAACGTCTTCGTAGACCATCCAATGTCTATAATACAATTTGTAATAGACAAAACCCACCACTAGTAAATATTGTCATCTTTAAACTTTCCATATCTCACAATCCACCTTCTTAGGCCCAACATCCTGCACTAGCTCGGATATGATACCGTCCATAACTAATAGATATTAATTTTGGACTTTCCCTTCTACCCCTCTCCTCGAGATTTTAAATGCGGAAAAGTTTTCCCATTTTGTTTCATTCTTAGACCGAACTCTATTAAAATATTATATTTTAATCCATTTTTTTTAGGTTTCATTTACTATATATTTTACTTGAACTATATATATATATATATATATTTTTTTTTTTTTTTTAAATAAAGATTTTTCACGTTGTTTTGCAAATTTATGTATTTTCTCTTCAAGAAATAAAATATTCTACAAATTACCTAAAGTTTCTATTTTCCTAATAATTTCAATTGTTTCACTTGTGATTGAACAGTAGGAGAATCAGAGACAAAAAATTGGGAGGTCATTAACAAAATCTCCCTCGGAATCGCAAGAGCCCTAGATCATCTCCACAACGGATTACAGAAACCAATACCTCATGGAAATCTTAAATCCAAGAACATTCTTCTCGATTCAAACTTTGAGCCGCACGTCTCCGATTTCGGCCTCCATCTCCTCCTCAACGCCGCCGCAACTCGAGAAATGCTCCAAGTTTCCGCCGCCTCCGGCTACAAGGCGCCGGAACTGATTAATATGAACGACGCTGATGAACGGACAGACATCTTCAGCTATGGCAAGATCTTACTCGAGTTGCTTTCTGCCAAAGAGACTGGCGGAGACGGCGGCGATTGCGGTGTTTCTGAAGAGCGGACTCTCCGATGCATTCTTCAGATCGGTGAGGCCTGTTCTTCTTCTTCGCCGGATCTTCGGCCGAATTTCAAGGAAGTGATCGCGAAGATTGCAGAAATCGGAAGGATTGAGATGGATTCAGATGAATTGGATTGCAGCAGAAAGGGTAAGCGTTCTGTGAGACGGTTTTTTAAAGATGAGTTTTGAGCAACCGATAGATTTATTATTTATTATTATTATTATTTTAATAATTCTACAGAATATATATATCTGTTTTTTTTTTTTTTTTTTTTTTTTTTTTTTTTTTTTTTTTTTTTTTTTTTTTTTTTTTTTTTTTTTTTTTTTTTTTTT